GCTACGTGATATGTGGGCTTCCTGTGGAAATTGATGCCAAAGGAATACCAAACATAAAAATATTAATCAAAACATGTTTTAGATTAGTTATAATATTAATGAAATAATGGAGATTTCCATGACTATAGCTTAAGTTTAGTTAATCATTTATATACAGATATTTCTAGAGATTAGATTGCAAATTATAAACTTAAATAGTAACTTATTACGGTTACTGAGATCTTCATTGAAGGCGAACTACTGCTGTTCGTCCATTTGGCATTATTTTGCGATGGTTACTTGTCATTATTGTGCTTTAAGACAGGTTAGAAATGAACGTTTACCTATTCAAACTCAAAGATTTAGAATATCCTGGAATTTTAGACTCACCGACGGCTCATAACGACCGGAGTCAACAAGATGAAGAACATGCCATGTGAATACCAACAACGAATACAATATATCGCCTCAATTTACACCAGATCGCTCTTAGAATGCTATCCAGAAGAATTAATTTCTTTGGAATTCTTTTGAAATGTAGGTTTGATAAAACTCCAATCTCTTTTGATGAATTTATAAGCTTCACTACCGGTGGCCATTCTCAGTCGGCTGTTGACTTGTTATTAAACGCGCGCACCCGAAATGCACCAAGTTTCCCGCCACAAATGACGTCATACATTTAACACGGCAAACTTTCAAAAAAGTATAATTTAATTAATAATTCTATTGATTTTATAGTGAACTTTTAAAAACAAAATGAAATAGTTGTATAAACTAATAGAAATTGATGAAATTCAAAGTGTTTGGTAATACAAAATGTTTAAAACTACAAAAGATTGATGTCTTTTATACATTTTCATGACTTTGGTCGTCTTTGTCAAACTTATTATTTGCGTAGAGCTAATTTTAAAGTCTTTCAGCAAGATACATGAAGGGATGACCAGAATGGAGGAGGCAGGAATGGCTGCTGATTCCGAAATGACTCGTTAGTCTCTGCCGATACCGAGGATGACTGTAACGTCGAGGAGGCCACGTCGTCTGCAAGAATCCTGGGCCTTGAGAAAAACGCCGCGCTTTTGTCAAATTCCGCAAGTTGCATAGGAACAAGTAGGGATTGATAACGAGGCTGTAAATGCGTAGTAAACATATTAGACATATTAGGGAAGCTCTGAGGGAATGGTGGCGAGTATGGATATGGTAGTCCATAATCAAGAGGGGTCATATAAGGACTGGCAGCCATCTTGGACGACCTGACGTTTCGTTTTTGTTTCATTCGTCTGTTCTGAAACCACGTTTTGATTTGAGTGTCTGTCAAATTTAACTTTTCAGCCAATTCTGATCGTTCACGTGTCCCAAGGTACTTCTGAGAGTTGAAGCGCTTTTCTAATGCTGTGACTTGTTCGGTTGTAAACGAGGTTCGTGGCTTTTTACGCAGATCCCTGTTRCATTCTAAAGAAAGAAACCGCAATCTATTAGTTCATTATACTTATGAAAATTTGGGTAATGCAAATCAAATTCCTTAATTAAGTTTCGTTTTGGAATCACAAAACGACGCATTCCTTCCCCCGCCTCTTCCACCTCGTCACAAATAGACTATCCAGCCGAAAATAAAAATCAAAACTGTCTTTAAAAATTTAAGAAAAGTCCAAGTTGCTTCTATGAAACCACCACCAGTTTTCCCTTTTTATATCTGGAAGAGTTAGGCATGTTCTTAAACATAGATTCTCAGGAAAAAATGTTAAAACTTTTAAAGTGATTTCTCAATAAATATCTTAGCATCAAATTACAATAGTAGACCATATAACAAGTGTTTGCATGGTTGTTTTGTTGTGTCCATTAGTGATGGACAATGGTTAAACAACAATGTATTGTTGGTATTTGAGACAAGGGAAGCAATGAGATATATCAACAGCACTCATCAATTACAACACAGTCAGATTTCACATTGTAAATATGAAAATATAAAAAATACGTGTAAATATATGAAAAATTTTGGATTGTTTTGCGTCCAACAACCCCATGGTTGATTGATACAACAGTCAAGTGATTCATCGTTGCATCATCAATTATGGAAGGAATTTACAACCTTATAATCAATTTATTTAGTCACAAAACAAAAAGGAAACTATTAACGTCATCAGTTTCCATAGAAACGCTGCGTCTCGTCACTTCCTGGACAGTTGGTCTTTTCAAAACGAAATCTATTTTCAACAATAGAATGTCGTCATGTCGTGTTTGTAAAATGAATCATTCAATCGAATTATCCAGCTTAAGATTTTCCAGAACAAACTTTCATAGATTAAACCAGAGTATTGGTCATGACCGTATGTCATTTCATACACATATTTCTGGAATACAGTCAAAAACTTTTTTTTTTTCAAAAAAAATAAAATGAACGCTTAATTTAAGCTCAAACCTTTCTGTTCAGCTATATGTGGATTCAAAATGACTCGCTTTTTCTGTTAACTATATGTTTACTTATATATTTAACGGAGAACCAGGAAATGGTGCATTGGATTAGTATTTTCCAGTAATTTTGAAAGCTTRCGATGTCTGATTTACATACTCACCATCAAAAGTATGACGCATTTTTTTCGTAAGKAATAGAGGTAAAATATTTTATATCAGTGTAATCGAAAGACTTGTGCAATTCGAGTAATTGCATTTTAATTGACTTTTATCTAATGTTTTAAAGTTTAGAAAACTACAGCTTCTACTGTAAATCGCGAATATTTTTGTCTAAAATTAYTTTTTACTTGCGCTTTGCACTACAACTAAATAATCGACAATAACTAGTCATAAATGTAGAATTACAGATTTCATAGCAGTGTTCTTACCAAGAGAAGACATGTTTCGACTAAACTCTTTCTTTTCAGTGTTTTCTTCAACGTCTTGTAGTTTTCTTTTTGCACTTTTATTTGGCTCTTGATTCTCACGCGTTAATATGTTCTCAATTAAGAAAGAATATTTTTTCTTTGAGACTTGTTTGCGTTCTTCACTGATATCATTACTTTGAATGTTTTCCATACTTTGGCAGAGATTCACGTTCTAAAACGTCTTGTAAAGACAGAGAGATCAGCACTTTGAAATGGCTGGTTGTGAAATGAACGCTGGTTGCGTCTCATCGTGAATTAATAAGAACTTTACTTCTTTGTTTCTTGTTTTAGTGTAATTGACATTCAATAGGTTGTTGTAGAATAAATCATTGCTTTGAAACTCTTTTCAATTTGAATTCAAAAGAAACATTTGAGCACAAAAAAGCCATTTGAATKCATGAAACCACTTAAATGCAAAAATCTAGTGCATTTGAAGTTAGAAACCCATTCGAGTGAAAAAAGTCATTTGTATGGAGGTAAGCTATTCAAATGCATTCAAATAAAAAGGAAACAGAAATATGCTAGATCTCTTAAAAACGTTACGTATTTATAAAAAGTTAATCTAATTACTGAAAAACGTTTTAAAAAAAGTTGAATTTAAAAAATACTGAAAATAAAACACTCAATCACATTCATATTTAAAACGTTTTTCTACAAATGTATCGTATACATTTTACCACTATTCAATACTRGTTGGACTGAGTCACTGTTTTTAAAGGAAGTGCTTTGTTGAAACGACGTACGGAGTACGTAACAAACTAAAAATCTCAAAAGAGTTTCGAGTGTTATTCCAAGGCGATAGCTAAAAATGTTTTTGTTAAGATAGTAAGAACAATGGGTGATCAGCGTTTCTTTGTACTAATTGTCTTTGTGACGAGGGAGGATCGCGGAGTAATGAACGCGGTCTGTGATCTAACGTGACGCGATTACGGCGCAGCTAATTGCCAAGACTTCGTACACTAATGGGTAAATTAAAAGACCATTAATTACACCTTACGTAAGACGGCTCTTTACGTAAAATATATATAGCAGATCGCGTAAAAGTAACTCTGTAAAAAAAAAAAATCAATTTAAATGATAACAGATTACGTTAACATACCAGCGCTTACGTAAAAGATAGCAGTTTACGGAAATATATATGCTCAAACGAAACGAGCATGCAGGTCACGTCTATTCGCAGAGGTGGCTGCTTACGTAAAAATAGCCGGCAGTGAGGCCATTAAGAGATCTAGTAACATCGAATACACAATTTTCAGTATACAACTTTTCTTGAATTATCTGTATACCCTGCAAGGTAATGGACGAGGCCTATAAATACAAAAGAGTCGGCGATTCCCAGGGGCCAAGAAACCTATTGTGATAGTTGATCATTCCACCCTCCCGTGGGGGCCTGACGCAGGGCGCCCTGTCTACAGTAAACATATCAATCTGAAAGATTTGGAAAAGAGATTTTTATCCACGACATGGAGCGGTCATTTGAGCTTTAATTTAGCTGTAGTCAAAGAGATCTTTCTGTACCTGTTGACTTATAAACTCATGATAAAATTTTCGAACGGCGTCGATAAAATGTTTAAACTTAATTGCATCATTCAAACTGTATTTTTCATTACTATAATTCGCCTGATTATAGTTTTGCAATAAAACCCAAAGATTTTAAGTTAAGTTTTTTACTATTCTATATTAATTTTATACGGATTAGTCATTCATCCTCTTCAATTGTTAACATTCACTATGTTTACATTTAAAAATTATATTTGATAATTAATATTAATCCATTTGTAAACTTAATTTTATATCATAAAGAACGAAAATGTGGAATGCTCGAGTGTAATTAATATTGGAGTTTCAGAGGTCTATGATTGCTCAGTTCAATCCGGCAAATCTTTGGCAACAGCTAGTACATGTATCTACTATGGTGGGAACTAGCGGTAAATTAGTGTGAGCTGCGTCGGTGTTTCTAAAGAAACAGTTGTGTAAAGAAGATAAGTTTAACACCGTAAAAAAGTATGGGAAATAACTTACTGACGTTTCGGATGTTAATCCTTCGTCGGAAGGATTTTGCTCTTTACTCCGACGAAGGATTAACATCCGAAACGTCAGTAAGTTATTTCCCATACTTTTTTACGGTGTTAAACTTATCTTCTTTACACACATGTATCTACTAGCCTGCCTAGCGGCCGCTTTCTGGTCTGTAAACCACTTACGTTAAGAATTTCTAGAAATTTATTCCGTGGTGTTCATCCGAATACTTGTGATGTCCGTCTGATATAAGAACTGTACACCTTTTCCTGTGATGATTTGGAAAACAATAACAACAATTGAACAGCTCGGTGAAACGCGTCACAGTTCATCGAGTACATCGGTATTCGCCCGAAAACCAGCACTCTGCACCCACCCCACCCCCCATCACATAATAAATCCACTGAAGAATGATTATTCAAACCCTGTATCTTTTGCTAATTCCTGAGCTGAGCCCTGATTGGCTCAGTGCTCCCTAAGGATTTTGGTGACGTCATATATTAGCATAGAACTTCACCGAATAGACTACCCCAATTAGATATTATATATATTAAGTGTCTTCATAGTACGATGGTCTAAGAGGGTAGCTAAAGGTATGCTCTAGTGGACGGCTACCCCCTCACTCCCTGGCCTTTTGGTTAAGACTAAGTTTTATGTTCACTCGGGATAGCGTGGAAGAGCCGAAATCTCTAACCGTATCGTAAGCCGATTCGACGCCTCAGCTTCATAGAATGTCTCGGGGGAATCGTCCCATCTTTTTACTTTTTTTATTTTCATTATTTCTTATGTATTCCGGGGGGGTACATCTTCTCCTGAAGTGAAAGTTCTGAGTTCGAGTCCTGATGCTGCAATTTCTCTTCTTTTTTTTTATTTTTTTTATTTTTTCACTTTTGTTTCCTGTTTTCTTTTCTTCTTCTTTTTTTCTTTTTCTTTTATTTTTTTTTTCTTTGTTGTTGTTGTTTTTCCTCTATAGRTTTTCTTTTTTCAACTTAAACAAATCAAGGTCCGAAATGAACGCCTGCTATAAGTGGATGGGTACGGTTCCGTCACTCAACACGATGACATAGTGACGAGAGACCCCATAAGGTATTTAGGCACAAAGACTGCAGCTCACGTTAATGAGTATCTGTGCTGAAATATCTCACCTTGAATTGGGATATACGCAAACGATACCAGTTCACGTAAGACGTCTGGTATGTTTACGGTTAACGCAATACAGTTATTGTTATATTTGTTGAATTTATTTGACTGTTGTAGTACATGTAGTTGGGCGTATTCCACAGCGAGACTAAACGTCCACTATTGATAATTATATGTATGTTGTAGTCTAACGAAATCTCGAGAAATAAAACCTATCACTGTTGCGTACGTACGGCCTATCATTCCTCTTAATTCATTATTACGTACAAGGTCTTTAGTACCTTTTCATCAAGAACGAATTTCCACCGAATGACCTAGAGTAATCAACAATCCGCTGTACTAATCGATAGTTACCCGCTAATTGCAGATTACTACAACAACGTAGATAGAACTGGAAATTAAACTCGATGGGCCTCCTGTGCTATCTTACATTTCCACAGGAATCCCATAGCAATAAGTTCATCTAGTGATGTATATTAATAACTGTTGATTTGTTTGATTGGTGGATCATTTGGTGTTGTATATACATAGGTTTTTCTGCGGAATATTTT